TCACGGAGCTTTGCCTGGTGGCCTTACACCGCTCGGCCGTCCTGAACCCTGACACCCGCCTCCCGCGCGTCACGGACAAGCTCCTGCTGGCCGTGTACCCCAACAAACCCATCCCCGGCCCCGTCTGCGAACTCACCGGCCTCAACAACGAGAACCTGACGGAGAACGAGAGGGCCGTGCTGGACGTGAACTTTGTGGCGGCCTTGTGCGGCTTCCTGCAGCGGCAGCCTCCACCAGTCGGTCTGGTGGCGCACAACGGAGCCAAGTTCGACTTCCCCTTGCTGAAGACCGAGCTAATGAAACTCAACACGAGACTTCCCGAAGGAGTCCGCTTCTGTGACTCACTCTTGGCCTTCAGGGAAGCGGACAGGGACTGTTCGACTGGAGACGCGCCGTCCGAACGGGTCTCCCTCAGCCTGGAGAGTCTGTACCATCGGTACGTTAGCCGGGACCCCAGGCGCGCGCACACCGCCGAGGACGACGCGCTGGCCCTGGTGGGCGTGATCAAGGCAAGGGCTGCTACTCTGGTTCCCTGGATGGACAGGAATTTCCTATCGTGGGATGACATCCAGCAGATGTACACACCGAGCCCCGTCAAGCCAGGGAGGATCAACAACAGAGAAAGGACGAGAAGTCCTACTAAATTGTGCTTCACGTAAGACTACTGAACATCACATATTTGGGTAGCAAATGAAATGGTAACTGTCTGGCGAATGGATACAGCCTGGCCACTTTCTGTATTTTGCGGCCACTGAAACATCTGCTTGGAGATTACATATATATGTTAGGTAGCTGTGGTGCGGGGAAAGGGTGAATCCACTGTGGGATGCATCAACCCTCGGGTGAAAAACTGGCAGTTAGAAACTCAAGTTGTTGCTGAACTTATATACATGTACTTAACGTTATATATTTTTACGATAAATATTTTTACGAAAAATATTTTGAAGTCAATTGGAAGAACATGCTTCCCTCTACTTTTACCAACTGTGTGGAAATACTGTAACGGATTACGTAAGTCGGTATTGCGGCAGCCAACAGGTATGGTTATCTAGTAACAACGAAGGTTGAAATGTAGATTCATATTATTTTATAAAAAGGTTTGACATCAATAATGAGTGTATGTAGATGTAATGTTAGTGATATTAACTATAATTACAATGTAACTTGTTATCAGTGGTAAAGAAATAATTTCTGATCTAGGACCACACATTATGCAGTATGAAATAATACTAGTCTTTAATAAACTTTTTGAAAATGGTTTAATTAGATGCCATAAATACATGTACTGTAATACAAGATACATAATTAGACATGATACAGTGTATGAACATTGTTGCCTGTGGTTGTAGGTTATCTCCATGCAAATGTGTGGTTCCTACAACTTCCAACACTATAGTAATCAGTGACTGTAATGTTAATACATGGATGGACTTGTAAAAATATACATGCTGTATTGATTCCCGGCGTGATGAAGACTGCACTGGAAATCTCTGTCCTCACTGTTTTGTGCTTTATATTTACTCTCCGAGCAGAGGTTTGGGTTTGGGGTTATTTTTGGCGTGTTTGGTTGGGTTGGGTGAAAGAAAATTCCAGTGCAAAAGAGAAACCCTGATAAAAAAGCCTAAAACACACCAAAAATTACCCCAAACATCTGCTTGGAGAGTACTTTATGGTTTGGGGCTCATGGACCACCTCACACTGAACTGAGAGTCTCAGTTGCACCAGCCTTCCATCTTCTGTCTTATTTCATGTTCATGTCAGTCTTTGTTTGTGCTCACTCCTTTTTCTTCTTAGCCTGAGGTCCAATTCTGTCATCTTGTTTCCTCTTCTCTGATGTTTGCTTGACCTGTGACCCTGGAAGACACAAAAACATTCCCAGCATTTCAATTCATGTGATTCTGAGCAAGGACTGTATTTTTTTTAATCTTTTTTTTATGAAAAACAAAACAAAAATTAATTTGAAACAAGAGTTCCGAGATCTCATACCTCCATGAAATATGGGCTTGCTTTGTCCTCATTAATTATGCAAATACCTCTACATTAACATATTATATGCATAGCGATGCATACCTTTAAGTAAGTTACACACGTTACGAGGTATAAAATTCCCATCATTCACCAATAAGGATTCACAGAATTTTCACATTAATTATGCAAATTAGGTCATCATTTGCATAATTGATATCTGTTGATGTTCCGCCTGCCACAGATTAAGTAGATTACGTGTATAGCAGTACCAATATATGAAACACTGTAATTATAAAATTTCCTCATTAATTATGCAAATTAAGTCCTCATTTGCATAATTTGAATTTAATCATGTACAACTGTCTCTCAGGTACATACACACCAAAAATGATGAAAATACGTTGTTCCAATCTGGACTTATTGGCTTTGAAAGTTTTTACCAGAAACTAACCTGCAGTTCCAGAACAAGCTGCTAGGGGGACCAAACTTACGCCACTTATTCCTGACAGGATAAGCTATTTGTCACCAAAAAGTCAAGACCATAGCTTGTTCAGGACAAAAGATACAAAAACCGGAAGTTCTGCTGCAGTACCAAGGTCATTCACCAGGAGGCCCATACTTGACCTTGACCTTTGTCTTTCCAAGACTTACCATCATACCAAATATCATCACAATCCATAAAGGCGTTCTGAAGTTATGCTGACTACAAAGTTGCGGAAACACACACAGACACACACACAGACAGACACACAGACAGACACACACACAGACATACAGACAGACACGCCAAAAACAATACCTCCATTTTTCATGGAGGTAAAAAGGACTGATCAGACACAACTATGGACAAATATCATCATCATACATTACTGAACATCAATTTTTACACAATCTTCTGTTTCACTAACAAGTTGATGATACAGGAGAGATGAGGTGTAAATACACTGTACATGTATATATGTTACCTGCTGCCTGCTTGGATGGCTCCCAGAGAGCATTCTTCACAATTCTCTTAGCAGCAGCCTTGTCCACTTTAGCAGCTGGAATAGTCACAAACCACATGGAAAAACAAGTTACACCTTGTATCATCTACCACTATGGATGTTCTCATTAATCGTGCAAACTAGAACTAAGAAATTATACAATGTCAAGTAACATGTACATGATTTTCACCTTTCCTCTTGTCCTCTATCTCCTTGACACGGTTCATGTAGCTGCGTATTCTGTCCTGAAAGGTGACAAGACAACAATAGAAGTGACATGGAGATATTAGATGTTTTTACTAATCATTTGAAGAGATTTGTGTGATTATCCATTGCAGTCTGACAATTCGACAACTCTATGAACTCTCAACCATTCCGGTTCTTTGTATAATCTACACAATGTAAAGAGACGCCTGGCAGTTTGATTGACAGGTGTCCATTGTCCTACTTACCAGTTCACTCTTGATTGGGTGGTCCTTGGGGTCAATGCCTTGTGTGGTTAGGTAAACTGTGAAAGAGAAAAGTGTGTTACCCAGACATGTACACACTGAGAACACATATTAAATGGTGCATTCTGATTGATATAACTATTGAATAAAATGATTGATTGAATAAAAACTTAAGAGTGAAGATTTAAATGTAGCAGCTATTTAACTGATGAGATGTAGATACACGTTCAAGTGGAATTCAGCTTGCAGTTGTAAAGTAACTGAATAAGGCATTTGATCGATCATCAACATGTACTAAAGACCTCTTTCTGAAAGATTCCTATCAATGTTGAATGACAGTGGTCATGACCTCTAAGATGGTGTTGTACTATCAAGCTGAAGGTACTTACTCCAGAACAGAGAGTTGATAGCATAGACTGCCGTCAGGTGCAGTTTGGCCTGGTCCAGAGCCTCCAGCTAGGAGATAGTGAAATGATGTAATACTTTAGTAAATCACTCAAAGTTCAGTCTCGGTCAAAGACCTCGTACAAAATCCTGTACCACATTATCAGTGCAATGATGCAATCATTCATATTGATTATCTAATTTGAGTTCGGCTTTATTCGGATTCAAAATTAGCATGGAAATTTTAACTCCATGTTCATTGTACAGAGCTATTCTTGTGGACAAGAAGAATTGATTATTGAACGTAAGGTTATTAGGTCTGGCAATAATATTTGTACGTCCTATATATACCTGTACGTCGTGTTGTACGTCTCTTCACATCACATCTCGACGTGCAGAGAAACGACGTACGCCGAAACTGTATGTCTGTTGGTAGATAATTTCGGCCATCATATTAAAATGAAGACAATGAATGAAGTTTACGAACCTTTTCCATGTCCTCCAGTGCCATCTGTAGGAAAGGTTTGAACACATCGTCCACTGCTTTCAGAGAATCGCTAAACGCCACCAAACCGGCGTGGATTTCTGAAGGATAGTCTTCTTGTTGCTGTGTCATGTTCGCAGACCTTTGAACTACCCGGTATCGACAACACAGGTCTCTTTCCTATCAGACTACCAACAAACACGTGCACAGCTGATCTCCTTCCGTCTCCTACTGCGTGTAAATGCATCGAACCGCAAAATTAAGACAGACTCACCGCAATATTTCTAACAAAACAAAATCTTTCAGATAAAATGTAGTGGTTTATACCTTCATAAAATTATTTTAGTTTTTCACTGAAATATGGAAAAAAAGAGAAATCGGCTAGTATACTGTTTAACGTTAACGTTACATTCCTTGTCATTATGCCGCTATCAATATCTGGCCAATTCCATTTTTTCGTTTATTAAGTATCGAGTAGATAGATTAAAATTATAAAATATTAATCTATTGAGAACAAAAAATCACTTATAAAGCATAAATAATAAGTTTAGCCTTACATATTGTAACATATGGCATTTAAAGGAAACTCCAAAATACTAGCATCCCCCATCAGAGTGATGGTATGACCTGTTACGTCATGCGACACGTCATACGTAGTTCCGTGATCAATATCAGCACAGGTGGCGGCGATATTTCCAGGTACGTGGCTCTTGCCTTTTTCTCCCGATATATCCCAAATTTTCGACGTAATATCTTAACAATCTGGGCACCTGTTGGTTTGCATTAAGCTGTATCAAATCGCGTGTACATTTATGTACATTCCAGGTATTAAAGCTCAGGTAAATTTTAGTGTATGAAATGGGCCCGTTACTTTCCCTGCGTGATGTGGCCGCTTTCTTTTAATACCAAGGCCAATGGCAATGGCGAAGTAGCACCACACTAGACTCTGTCGGATGGTAGAAGAGACAGAAAAATAGGATGCATGGTGTTTTGTTTCTTGGTACACTCCCCCATACAGGTGGGTTAACATAAGATTGGTTCCCTCAAGGCCTTCACACTCACTATTTAAGGTTTCCCAGGTAACGTAAACGTTAGCGGTAAGGCCATTCGGTACCGCTTTGGAGACGAAACAAAATATATGACATTGGTCAAAACAGGGGTCGGAAAGTCCATTTGGTCAGCTAGTTGTGTAAGGCCTCTTGATCTTTAATCTCCAAGCAGATGTGTGGTTGGCTTGTTCGTTCCTGAAGCCGGTATTAAATGCTATATATAAATCATAACACACCATTTTGGTACAATAGCTAATGTTAGCGTTAAGATTGGACTGTAATGTCTCATCCACTCACACGGGAATGTATCCCTACTCTACCGGTATTTGATGAGTGCAGTGGATAAATACTAGTAGCATGCTTGAGGGATGGCTCTCCTCAAACATGGGAACTCCAGCTTATGCCCCTAGATACTCACCTCAATTGCCCCTTTCAGCTGAATTGAGTGAGGAAGTAGGTATAAGAGAACGACATTGGGGACTAAAACCTAGAACGTAATTAGATTCTAGATTCTAAGTTAACAACCCTATTAAGCCACAAGCACATTCCTCCCCTGTTTTGTAGCCTTTTAAGCTGTGCGGAAAGGGAAAAAAAGACAAAGCTGCAAGGGATATTTCCTCTCTATTTACATATGCATTGAGATTAGTCAGCCCAAGGACATGCATAATGTCCTTGGTCAGTCCTTGTATTAGCAACCTTTGGTAGAACACATCAGCTTTAGTGCAGTATGATGTAATGTGTTTGGACTTCCTGGTTACTGAATATGATGCACCTGTTGATTTTGCCTTGACTCCATTCAGTTCTGTTATACTGGTATGTCAAATTTGAGGTGCATTTTTACTTTGTAACATGTGTTAATTTCTTTTTCAAACAATGTTTCAGACAGACGGTTTGGCAGCCTGAAAGGTTCATCATGGCCACTTCTGTGCTGATGACTTTTTTGGTTTTCATGCTGTTTTCCACAATAACATACACTCATGACATCAGAGTTCGCCAAGCCTTACTTGCAGTTCCAAAGTCAAATATCCCCATACCAACAGAAAGGACAGAAGTCACTCCAGACACAACTGTGAGTGGTTACTCAGCAGAAGACTTTACAGACAGCAGCCAAACTGAAACCACACCAAGTAGTGGGGAGTTGTCTGGAAATGCCTCTGATTTTGGAATGTGGATACGAATGGAACAGAAGAGGGC